AAAAAAAAAAAAAAAAAAAAAATTACAGTTACAGCAGAGTATGGTGGTGACACCTATAATCCCAGCACTCAGGAGGCCAAGGTAGGAAGATCATTGTGAGTTCAAAGCCAGCCTCAACTATATGCTGAGACCTTGTCTCAAAAACAAACATAAAATAATAATAATAAGGGGCAGTGAGATACCTCAGCTGACTAAGCGTTGGCTTATCAAGCACAGGGAACAGGGTTTGATCTCTGATCCTGCATGCCATGCCAACCCCGCCCCCAGGCACACTGAGCTGACCACTGGGACCAGGTATGGTGGTGCACGCTTATAATCCCAGCACTGGGGAAGCTGAAAACAGGAGGATCACTATGAGTCCGAGCTACATAGTGAGAACCTGCACCAAATACATTTAAAAAATAGTAACATATGTATGACAAAAGGTAATACAGAAATATGCAGGCCATTCTGGGACAGGTAATTGCTAGAGTGAGGATGGGCTAAAATTCAATGCATATTCCTGTGGAAGCATTGAAGATGGAGAATGTGGGGTTAAAATAAAAGGTCCCTTGTATGGGTCACAATAAAATACACATCATGAATTTAACCTCAGGAGTTACTGGTCCTAGGAGCTCCCTGGGGGTAAAAGTGAATGCCGAGACCGAGTTCCAAGAAGGTGAGACTTTTCTCTTCTTGCCCATTGAACAGACCCTGTGCCTGACCTGTGTCATCTCAGGAGACCCTGCCCCTGAAATCTTTTGGCTGAAGAATGATCAGCCTGTCACTTTCCTTGACCGCTACCGCATGGATGTGAAAGGGACAGAAGTGACCATCACCATTGAGAAGGTCACCAGTGAGGACAGTGGGCGCTATGGTGTCTTTGTCAAGAACAAATATGGCTCTGAGACAGGCCAGGTCACCATCAGTGTATTCAAACATGGGGACGAGCCCAAGGAGCTGAAGAAGATGTGATGGGCGTGGCCTGGCGCAGCCTGAGATCCGGTCTGCAGGACCAACAGGACCAACTAGTGGGGTCACAGCCTGGCATAGGCCATGGGGCAGGCAGAGGGAAGGAGAGAGGGTGGCAACTGGGACATGGGGGTAGGAATGGAGGTGCACCCCAAAGGGAGAAGGAAAGCTACTGCTAGAGCCCTAAGAGGCCTGCAGGATGGCAGGGTGAGTGCTAGACTGGGAATAGGAAACTTAGATATAAGACTCAGTGTCTGCTAAGTCCTTCATCCATCAGACATGCACCCTCACCCACCCCATGGGATAGGGATAGTCAGGGGCATCTCCACGGAGGCAGCTAAGCTCTGCAGAAGATGTTTGGCAGTGTTGATTTTTTTTTTTTTTAATGTATTTGGTACAGGGTCTCACTACACAGCTCAGACTCCTAGTGGTCCTCCTGTTTTCAGCCTCCCCAGTGCTGGGATTATAGGCGTGCGCCACCATGCCTGGTCTTGTGGCCTGCTCAGCACGCCCGGGGGCAGGCCAGGCATGGCATGTGGTGCTGAGGATTGAACCCCAGACCCTGTGCTTGCCTAAGCAGGCACTTAGTCCACTGAGCTATCTTGCCAGCCCCAGTGTTGATATTTTGGGTTATCATAACTGGAGGTATCTATAGGTCAAAGCCAAGTATGTGCTATAGAGTACAGCTCTCCTTGCATCAAATTATCTGACCTAAGATGTCTATAGTGCTGAGCCACAAATCCTGTCATAAATCAGGATATTACAATTCTCCTCTTTTAGGAGAGGATCATTTCAGTTCACATAAATTCAACAAACATTTACAGCATGCCATCAGGCATAGTCACACACATTTGTAATCCCAGCACTCAAGAGGCTTAGGCAGGAAGATTCTGTGACTTCAAGGCCAGCCTGAGCTACATAGTGAGTTCAAGGTCAGTCTGAACCACAGAGTGAGACCCTGTCTTAAAAAAAAAAAAAAAAGATAAATGATACACAAGCCACTCCAGGAAGCAGTCTCAGTCCATTATAGACAGACCTGGGTATAAATGACACCAGGACAAGTCAGGATAAGTTTTATAGAACAGATCCGAGTAAAGTGCTACTAATGGTCAGAGAAGAGAGACAGCTGGTCATCCCATCTGGGAGGAGGTAGGGCTTCCAAACTCCTTCCTGCTGTGGGCAGAATCAGTGTGGGCCCTAAAAACTGGGTCTGCTTTGACTGTGAAGACAGGAGAAGGGCCCTGTGGGAGTGGGCAAAGCAGGAGCAGAGGCGAGGAGGAAGAGGAGGCATGAAGCTGCCCAGGTGGCCGTGGGCACCAGCGTGGCGTGGATGACGTTCCCAGCTGCTGCAGATGGGGCCTCTGCCTAGTGTGACGGGTACTGGTTGGCCTTGCTTGCTGGATCTCAATACAGAGCCAGGCATTTCCCTGCTCTCCAATTTCTTTCTTTTAAAAACTAAGGTTGAAAAAAAAAAAAAAAAACACCTAAGATTAGGGAAAAAAATAAAATTTAAAAAAACAACTACAGTTGGAGGGCAGATTATAGAATTATAGCTATTTGTTGTCAGATTTTTTTAAAACCTTGGAAAATATAGAGGAGAAAATAAAAATTGTCTGTATTCCCAACATCAGGAGGTAACTCCTGCCTCTGGTTTCTGCAATCTATTGTGAACTGCAGGATCAAGTGAGGCCCCCCTCCACCCACCAGCTCACCTGGTGGAGAATTAGCAGACCTCAGTCATGCTCCTTCCTGGCTACACAATGTTCAGTGAGCCCTCAGGTGGGGACAGCCAGGGCTGCCGGAGGCTGGGGACCCATGCAAGCCTTGAAGGCAGACACCCCTAGCTTGAAACAGTTTTCTGCTACCCACTCACCGTAGAATCTTACATGATACATGTTCTTTTTCTGGACCTCAGTTTACCATCTACAAAACAGGATGGGGGAAGATCACTTTGTGGGCCCTTTTGGCAGCCACGAAGGGCTTTTATTACTTCCCATAATGCCATTTTTCTTTGCTTTTCCCATCCCACACACATGGAGTTAAAAAAAAAAATGACTCCATCCTAACCCACCGTCAGTCTTGGCTTCTTTCCTGTGTTGGTGAAAAAGCATCTCAAATTTCAGCAACACTGGAAAAGCTGCTGGCTGCGGTGCGGTGTGGGAATTGTGTTTACACTCTGAAGCTCCTACAGGCAGCTTCCTGGTAAGGTGCTCAGACAGTTGAGAAGCCAGAGCTGGTCAGCACTATGCTACACTGGAGCCTGTCGTGTATTCATCCTGGGGTTTAAAAAACTGCTGGTCTGCTCATTCTGCTATCTGGGGCATACCTGCCCCCAGTTCTGACGTTGGCTCAGTGTCTTCACCTGTGTTTTGCCTCTCAGTGGCCTCCTAACTGGGAGACATTGTGTACCAGGTAAAGGGCTCTGTGGTAAATCTTGGGCCAGGGGGACGGTGGGGGAAGGGAGGTGCTCTCTGATCCTCCCTGAGCTTGTGCCCTGAGCTTCGGTTTCTCCTTTCCAGCCCCCTGATGTAACAGTAGGGGAGGGTTGTACACTATGCCCCACGGTAAGATCCAGGAGGACATGCTGTTCCTGTGGATCCCAAGGCCAGCGTCAGCAAAGAACTAGAGAGGCAATTTAAAATTGAAAAAAATCAGGGGCCAGCCAAATAGCTCAGTGGATGAAAGTGTCTGCAAGCAGGCACAGGGGCCCGGGG